GAACCACGATAGTGACCATTAACTGAAATATGTTGACTGTAGAAGTAGGTTTCAAAAGAAAAATCTGGAGTTCAGTTTTGGACAAGGTAAATTTGAAATATCTACTAGACACCCAAATGGTAAGTCAGCTAGAAGTATCAGCCAAGACTTAATGGATGAGTTCCAAGTAAGAGATAGAAATGTGAGAATCTTCAGGGAATATCAATGTACTTAGGCCACTAGAATGAATTAGGATAAAGTGAGTGTCTATAGATACAGAAGAGATCCGTTGCTTTGAAAGTACAGTGAAACAAACAGACCTAAAATTTAGTGACTTAAAATAACCACTTATTTTCACGGCTCTGCAATTGAATGTGTATTGATTGATCTAAGCTAGGCTTGGCTATCATGATTTGATTCTGCTTCATGTGTCCCTCGTCCTTCTCCTGGGCCAGTGAACTGTCCTTGCATGGTTTTGTGTTGTTGTTGTTTTCATGGCAATATTGGAGGCAGAAACACAAAAGACTTATTGAGGCTTCAGCTGGCATGGTGTCACTCCCTCCTCATTCTGTTGGTCAAAGCAAGTTGTATGGCCAAATCCAAAGTTTTGAAGATCAGCATAGTTATAAGGCAAAAGTACTGATATAGGAAAGGGTAAAAAATTGAATTCAATAATGCATTCTCTCATATATATATATGAAGACGGAGTTGTGGAGCATTTTTAACTCTAAAAGGTAAAGTTTGGATCCTACACTTACCCTGCTTCCCCATGAATACTATATCCACCCCATTCCCACATCTAATCAAGGGTCAAATATGAAAATTATCCTAGACGTAATCTTAACCATTGTTGTCCCTTACCTAAAGGAACCCACTGGTCATCGGAGGCACCAATTCCTTGATTGCTGTCAAAGAAATGAGATCATTGGTTCTATATTAAGAGTTACAAAGAAAGTCTGTGGCAAGATGGTCTAGGAGACACAATGTGCCACTTATCAGTCCAAAGAGAAGAAAACCAAAATAAAGTACCTTGACGAAGAACACAGAGAGACATCTGTCTCTGAATTTGAAAAAAACAAAATTTCATTCCCAACAGAAGGATCTGATAGGGCAACTAACATGAATGCATAAAACCTTATCAACATCAGAAGCTCGGCACCAAGCAGTAAGTTAAGAAAAAAAAGATTGGCAGTACTGGGGATTGAACTCAACACTTTGTCCTTGATAAGCAAGTGCTTTACCACTTAAGCTACATTCCCAGCCCAAATTATAAATTTTTTCTTGCAGTATTGGGGTTTGAACCTGCTAGGCAGGTACTCTACCACGAGCCATTCTGCCAGCCCTGTTTTGTGTTGGGGTTTTTTGAGACAGGGTCTTGAGAGCTATTTGCTTGTGCTGGCTTGGAACCAAAATCCTCCTGATCTCTGCCTCCTGATTAGCTAGGATTACAGGCATGAGCCACTGGTGCCCAGCTTCCAAGTTACAATCTTAAATAGATCACAACCAATAATTTTTTTCGAGCTGCTAAGATGAAGAATACGCATTTTATCTAGTTTTCTGTTGTTAAGAAGCAGATTTATTTTACCGTGACAACTACTTCATAAATATATAATAAAATTTCCAGGCTTTTGTATTTCTTTGGAAGTAAAGACATCATAGGAGCAATTCTTTTAAAGAACATAATCTGCTTTTATCAGCTTAAGCTGGAAGCCTGGATTTTTGAAAAATAATGAATCAGATAACATGGCACTAGTACTTGTTCACTACTTTATATTTTAAGCTGCTTTTGCTAGATTTTTAGAGCTCAAGGGGCCTCAGCTATGATAATCACCTAATTTTATAGATGAAGTGACAGAGGCCCAGAGAGGTTAACCTGATTCTTTTGACAATAAAAGATTCAGATCATGTAAATTGTAACCCAGTGGCAGCAGGAAGAGATAGCTTATGGGAGGCATGTGGAATGGCATAATTGCATTTACACCTCCACTCCATCCATGTTGTCCCTTACCTTAGTTTTCTATTGCTATAATGAAATTCCTGAGACTAGAAATTTATTTTAAGAAGATTTGTAAGCTTATGGTTCTAGATGTCCAAGAGCATTGTAGCGGCATCTGCTTGGCTTCTGATGACAACCTCTTGGCAGAAAATGGACGAGCAAGCAGGCACATACAGAAGAAAGGCAAAAGAGACCCAAGGAAAACTGTAACTCATATTTACCAACCCAGTCTCATGATAACTAACCCATTCTCACAGGAACTACATTAATACCTTCATGAAGATGAAGCTCCCTTGACCTAATTACCTTATAAAGATTCCACCACTTCTTAACACTATTATGTTGGCAGCCAACCCTCAACCTGAGTTTTGGAGGAGATGAACCATACTCAAACCATAGCATCCCCTTTTTCACTATCTTCCCCCAGTAAATAGTCTAATAAAAACTATGACACACTGTGAAGTGAAAGCTTCCAAACAAGTTCATCTAGATGCCCTTCCCTTCCTCCAGCTTAGTGCAGAAATCCTAGAGTGGCCATTCTCCACGTTCAGAATAACTTTCCTTCACTGTTATGGACTAAATGATTGTGTGTTACAAAAGTTCATATGTTGAAACCCTACCCCCAAATGGTGTGGCATTACAAGGTGCAGTTTTTAGGAGATAATTATAGAATTATAAAAGGTCTTGAGGTTAGAGACCTCATTAAAAGTTAATGTTCATGTAAGAGTTCTAAGGGAGTTCTCTTCTTCCTTCTCCACTATGTGAGGATGTGAAGATACAACTAGAAGTCGGCAATTTGCAACTGTTTCAGGAGGTTGCTAGCTTAGATATGGGACTCTTGAGGCAATTTAGCAGGAAGCAACGTTTTATTGTGCCAGCACAGACCTAGTGGACTTGTGTCCAAAGACTGAACCTCAAGAACAAAGTGGTCTCACTTTATATACCCTTGCAAACAGGTTACAGAAGCAAAAAGCAAGGTCTAATCATAAAGGGTTATATTTAATTTTATTGGCTACGTTATCCTAGTGCTTTGTGACTTTCCACTCCCTGGTACTACATGACCTTTCTCATGTTCAGATTTCTCAGGTTTTATTTCTGTGCTATGCCATCCCTACCTCCCTGCTACTTTCTCAGGACTCAGGCCTAGTCTGTTTTCTTTTGATCCTTGTCTCTGTTACACAACCAGGAAAACAGCCTCTATCAGAAGCTGGCACTCTGACCTCAGACTTCCAGCCTCTAGAACTTATAAGAAACAGAAACAAATTTCTTGTTGTTTAAAAGCCATCTGATCCATGGTATTTTGTTATAGCAGCCTGAACAGACTAAGATACACACCATCACCAGTGTCTACAGTTTTATGGCCTTTGATATACTGGAGGATTTGATAGTATCCTGCTGTTTCTTTTGTTCTGTTTATTTTATCCTCCTATGTCTCTCTCTCTACCTGACTTTCACTTAGAACCAGATTTTGGAGATAATGTTTAATGTACATCTGTGGGAAATAATACATCTCTTCTTCCCGGTAAATACTACCTAGTTGACCTATTTAAGTTTACTTTCTTCTTGGGAACTTAACTGTTCAGTTTTTTTTCACTCTCTCTTCCAGCAGTAACAATTCCTTTATGGAACTGAATGTAGTACTTCCCTCCTTTTGATCTTAGGGGACCTTGAGAAGTTCAGGAAGTGATCACTTTACCTATTTGCTCTCAAACAACGTCTAAAAATTTAGCATAGTCTAACCAAGCATCTCTTACTGATGCTGTCAAAGACAAGCAAAGTCAGATGTTAAAATGATAATGACAGATTTTAATAAGTAAATACCAATGTAATGGGGAAGAGGGCCCCGTATGAATTGAATTCAACTAGGATTCCTACAGAGGTGACTGGTGCCTTAAGGGATAATGAGGAAGGGGAACACAGTAGAGTCAGAGAAGTGAAATATTATAAACAGTTGATCAGTGGAAATGCAATTAGGCCAGTTTCATCTATCACTTGGCATTTATGGAAGTTAGGATCCTATTCTCCCACAGAGAATGGAAGACAGAGGCCCAATCCTTCCTGACAATTAATTTTAAAGGGATGGCTTTCAGGTTCTAGGAAAGGAGCTCCTGAATCATAGGAGATACAAAGATATCTCAAAGACACAGAGGAAGGATTCAGCACTGTGAGCCCTTTTCAGTTAATGCTGTAGGAAAGAGGGGTCAGGAGACAGTCTCTAGCTGTTGACTAGAATAAACAATAAATTATTTTGACAGCCTTGAACTTTCTCAGGGAAGCACTTTAAGGTGGGCTAGGGCCATCCTCGCAATGCAGCTGTGAACTGTTAGAAATGTTGTTAATGCTTATTTAGGTTTTCTAATGTGATGATAAGGGGATGAATGAAATACTTGTTGCAATTCTAAAGTTTTTGTAGGCCAACATAAAGGCCTAGTTCAGAAGAGGGCTCAGAGGATCCTGGCTTGAATTTGGTCAAGGAGAGAAGATTTCTCATGGGAATTATGTTATGTTATTTTATTGCTATTTTTAAAAAAATTGTATTTGTCAAAGCCTCTGTTTCCTCAGCATTAAAAAGGGAGTTTTGACATCCCAAACAGCTCTCGGGAGCAGCTGAGGCAGCACTGTCCAAAAAGAAACATAATGTAAGCTTCATATGTAAGCCATTTCAATGTTCTCAAAGCCACATTAAACAAAGACGGTAAAAATGTTAGTAAAATGTTTTATTTACCTCAATATATTAAAAATACTATTTCAATATATGATCAACAGCTTAAAATTATAGGATATTTTACATCCTTGTTTTCGTTCTCAGTCTTTGAAACCCGGTCTTTGCACATGCAGCTCCTGTCAATCGGCAGCAGCCACGTTTCTATTGTTCAACAGTCGCTTGGGGCTACTGAGATGGACAGTGTCAATCTAGGCAGCTAGGCGGACGCGCCTTGCTGACGTAACGTGGGGGCGGATCTTAGGGGGGCGGAGCTTCTCGGAGAGCGCGTTTTGAGCCGCGCCGGCTTCCGTCGGGGTGAGCGCCGGCTGTGGCCGCGCCACGTCCGCTGTGGCGGCGGGAGAGGAGCGGCTGGGCCTCCGGGCGGCGTTTGGACAACCATGGCCTTTACACTGTACTCGCTGCTGCAAGCGGCCCTGCTCTGCGTCAACGCTATCGCCGTGCTGCACGAGGAGCGCTTCCTCAAGAACAGTAAGTGGGGCCACAGGCTGAGGTGGCGGCAGGGCCCTGATGGGGGTGGGGAGGGGACGAACCCCGTCGGGGTCGCGTGAGGGGACGAACCCGGCAGGACCGACTGCAGCCGAGGGCGCAGCCGGGGATGAGGGGAGCGACTTCCATGCAGGGCAGCCGAGACACTTTCCTGTCAGAGGTTTGAGGTCAACAGCGGCGTGAAGGTTGAGCAGATGCCCCCTGTGTGAGGGGCCCTCGGCCCGGGGTGGGAGGTACAGAGGCGCGTCGGGTTCACTCAGCCTGCGGTTAGTTTCGGTCACTAATATTCCTGTTGCTGATTTTGTTTTTTTTTTTTTTTTTTGATCGAAAAGTTGGGGTCTGAGGTTGGAGTTAAAGAGTTGGGGGTGGAAGAGGGGGCGTGGCTCCTTTTTGAGTATTAGTATTGAGATTTGAACCGATGGAGGGCGATAGGGCTTCCTAGGCTTTGGGGTTAATAGGACAGGGAAAGGACTGGGAATTATCAGGACAGCAGGCCACCCGTGTTCTAAGAGGTTTGCACGATTTATTGGGTGCCTACAATGTATCAAGGACTGTACTGGACCCTAGAAATACAAAGATGAAGACGTGAGTTATGGCTGCTGGAACCTACAGCCAGGAGATCACCATGCCAGCCTGGGCCAACTGCTTCTTGCTGTATGAGGCAAAATTGAGGCAAGATACGGACAGTGTGAATTATTCATCGTAGTATACCAAGTATTTCTCTGTGAATCATTGAAACTCAGACGCACCAGCAAGATTGATTCATTTCACTTATTACCCAGAAGAGATCTATTGAACACAAATTATGTGCCAGGCACATGTAATAGGAGCTGAAGTTACAGCAGTTACCACACCCTGCTAATGGAATTCAAATAAAAATGAATAAGTAGCAAGAACAAGTATGCAGAATACTACAAGATGCTGATTTGTGAATCTGCAAATATGTCTAACCCTAAATCTGATAAGTGAGTAAACATTAACCAGGTAAAGGTGAAGGTTTGGGAGAAGGTGAGAGACTGAGGAGCGCCTTAAGCAGTGTAGAACTAGTGTGAAAACTGGCATGTGAAATTGGACTCAAGAAAGGTAGTGACATGACCAGATTTGTGTTATGAAGCTCTTTCCAGCCTCCAAATGGATAACAGACTGGAATGGAGAGGGGTGGATGTGGGAAGAACCATTCTGAATAGAGCAAGCAGACAGGGTGTGTGTAATAGTGATAATAGCTAGTATTTATGTAGCAGTTAGTATGTGCAGGATCTCTATCAAGTGCTTCACATATATTACCTTTTGTAACTCACAGTAACCCTAAGAAATAAGTTACTGTTTTTATTCCTGAGGTTTTCTGACTCAAGTCTATCTCTTTAGGCACTACACTATACAGTAAAGCAGTTGTGATCATGTCAGGGGTTGAATCCTGTCCAGAAAATACTGAAGCCCTAATCCTTGATGCCTCCAGTTGGAAACAGAGGCTATGCAGATGTGATCAAATTAAGTGCTGGACCCAAACCTAGTGATTGGTGTTTTTGTAAGGAGCATGAGATACAGAGGCACACAAACATGCACACTGAGGGAACCATATGACAATGGAGATAGAGACTGCAGCGATCTGGCCACAAGCCAATGAACCCATGATTTCCAGAAACTACCAGATTAGGGTTATGAACAAATGCAGCAAAATTGCAGGATACAAGAAAATATATAAAAATCAATTGTCTTTTTGCACATAAACAATCAAAAATGAAATTAAGGAAATAGTTTCATTCATTGTATCAAAAAGATAAAATATTTAAGAATACATCAACAAAAGAAGTACAAGGCACTTTTAAAAGAAATTAGAGAAGATTAAAGATATTCTAAGGTTAAAGTAATGACAGTCTGTGTTCATGGATGAGAAGTCTTAATATTGCTGAGATGATAATACTTAATAATATAGATTTAATGCATTGTTTGCCAAAAATCCCAGCTAGCTTTTTTGGAAAAACTGACATGTTGATCCTAAAAGAAATGCAAGGAACCCAGAATAGCCAAATTGATTAACAGGGAAGAATAAGTTGGACGATTCAGGCTTTTTGATTTGAAAGCTTACTACAGTACCACAAAACAATATAGTATAGGTCAATGAAATAGAATTCAAAGTCCAGAAATTAACCCTTACACTTATGGTTATTTGATTTTCAACAAGGGTACCAAAACAATTCTAAAGGGAAAGAATAGTCTTTTTAACAATGGTGTTGGAACAATTAAATATCCATATGAAAAAGAATGAAGTTAGATTTCTACCTCACTCTATTCACAAAAACTAACTCCACACCATAGGCTTACAAGCTGCAAGATCAAAAGCTCTACAGCTCTTGGTCATAAAACTACATTACTTTGGGTTAGGTAAAACCTTCTTAGGTACAGCCACAAAGCACAAGCCCCAAAGGAAAAAATAAACTGGGCTTCTTCAAAATTAAAAACATTTGTGCTTTAAAGGATACCATCAAGAACATGAAAAGAAAACCACTGAATAGGAGAAAAATATTTGCAACTCTTCTATCTGATGAGGGACTTATATCCAAAAAATATAAAAAACTATTAAAACTAATATACAAGCTAGTTGGAGATGTAAACTTCAAAGTCTCGATTAGCCCAATAATATAATAATGTAAGACGCCTGCATTAGTGTAATTCTGTTCTTTCGTCTAATAAAACTGGTTTTCACTTGGAAGTTTATATCAGAAATATTAGAGGTGGATTTTTTAAAATATACCTGGGCGTGGTGGCTCATATCTATAATCCCAGCTATTTAGGTGGTGGATCACAAGTTCAAGGCCAGCCTGGGGAAAAAGTTAGTGAGATCCTCATCTCAACCAGTCTTTATTTATATATAGGTTGTGTGTACAGATTCGTGCCCCTAGATTCCAAGAAGCTGTTGGAATGGCCCAGAAATGATACACACTTTGCTTTCCAGAACTTTGTCTTCCACATTTCCATTTCTGCCCAGAGGAAGCATAGAACTAAAGGAAAATACCACAGTGGTTTATCTTATGTGGATAACTATTATTTTATAGTATCTAAATATCTGTATTTTAAGTACTTATTAAATATTACTTATGCATGCATCTAACTCTTGTTGCATAGGTTTTTATGTCTACCTTTTTACTTGTCACCCAGTCTCCAGTTTTGCTTCTTTTTGTTCTGCCTTCTAGACAAAGCTTAGAATGTTGTTTGGTAGTTTGCAGTTCTTCAATATTTGTAGCCTTCAACATAATATTCAGATTCCTTGTGTGACTTTCTGCTCTTCTCCTTCCCCTGTATTTAGCTGTGTGACATTCTCACCATGGTGTTTTTCCTAGGGCTGAACTTTTACTAAATCATACGTCTTGCGCTGCCTGCAGGGACTTACCCTTTTTGCTTCAACTAGCTAACTCTTCAGCCCTTCCTTTAAAGCCTGCCTCTGGCATTTCTCTTTTCCACAAACCATTTCTAATCCATCTTCATGGGCTGCATAGCACTCTGTAGTTTCTCTTCTGCCTTCTCTAATAGACAGAGATTCTCTTATCTTTACAGTTCTGTCAATCAGTGAGTGTTTTCTAAATAACTGAAGAACTACCATTATCATATTCTTGACATTCCTGGTTTGAGGACCATTATTTGTACAAATAGCTTATTAGCTAGTATTTGACCATAGTGCAGAGAATGTGTTGGTTGTTCTAGTTCTACACAATGATGTTAACTTTCTTTTAACCCTAGGGAAAAAATGGATTTTATTTATTTATTTATTTATTTAGGTGATAGTGGGGTTTCAACTCAGGACCTTGAGCTTGCCCTAGGCAAGTGCTCTACCACTTGAGCCATGTCTCCAGTCCTTTTTGCTTGGGTTGTTTTTAAGAAAAGGTCTCACTTTTTGTCAGGGTGAGTCAGGACGGGATTATACTACTTATACTTCCTGCAGTAGCTGGGATGACTGACACATACCACCATGGCCAGCTTTTTCAGTTGAGATAGGGTCTTTTGAACTTCTTGCCCAGGTTGGCCTTAAACTGCAATCCTCCTGTTCTCAGCTTCCCAAGTAGCTAAGATTACAGGTTGGAGCCACTGTACCTGGCTAAAAACAGTGGATTTTAATACCTTCAGAAGTGTTTCTTATTAGAGTTTTTGTGGTGGTAAGTATCAATTTGACAAGTATTTGCTATATCCAGTACTAGGTTATTGAGCAATACAAAAGAAATAAGAAACAGTGTACTGGTCAGCTCTGGCTGCCATAACAAAGTATCGTACAGCTGAGTGGCTTTAGCAACAGAAAGTTACTTTCTCACAGTTCTGATTGCTGGAAGTCTAAGATAAAGGTGTCATTATTGTCCAGTTCTGCTGAAGGACCCCTTTCTGGCTTATAGGTGGCTCCTACATGGCAGAGACCGCTTTCTCTTGTAAGGCCACATTCTTACTGGTCTAGGGCCCCTCTGTTATGGTCTCAGTTAGCCTTAATCTACCTCCTATAGACCCTGACTCTAGACACAGTCACATTGGGGATTAGAGTTTCAACATATGAAGGAATATAGGTACAATTCAGTGCATAGCAAACAATTAAAATATCACAAGCTATTTAAGCCTTATTTGATTCAAGGTTTAAATGACTGCTTCAGACCAATGTACTATTTTGGATTTTAGAATAGAAAGAGTTGTGTGAACTTGAGTAACAAAGAGAAAATTCTGAAGGGGATTAATTTTAGTAAGTTGGGTTTGCATTTATGTATAGAGAAAGGAACAAGGCATACAGGAGTTAGACTTCATTCCAGCATGACAGTTTATAAAACCTTGAGGAATGTTTTCATGTAGATGTAAGTTTCACTTTAAGTATATACTCCTAAATAGCATTTGTTGAATTTAATCAGAGATGAAATGGAATTATTATCCTGAACTGGGAATTATATAGAACTAAAGAAGTTAATGTAAGTTTACCAGATTTACTTCAGCATTCATCTGTTTTGCTGAAGGCA